CTGTCTGTTTTCTTGCAGCTGAGGGTGACTCTGTTCGCACCACCATGAAACTGTATTGTTACCACATTACTAAAATGCAGTAAACCCTCAGAAGTCGGAGCACACAACTGCGAATAATCAATCTCTTTAAGCATACTTAAATCAGCTCATGTTGGAGGTTTTTTGATGTTTTTCCAACAGCAAATCTTTCCTCTTGCAGAACCTCGTAATTTAGAATCTGCAAATCAAGTTTCAAAGGCCAGTGCATAAATGCAACACTCACGTCTAATGGATTTAATCAAATATTTTAAACACGTATCGGACAAAATGGGGACAGTTGATTAACTCATTGGTCATATAAACCTAACAATGCCGGCCCTTTGAATTCAGTCTCTGCATGAACTGCTATGGACTGCTACACTACACTTCACTTGTATTTGCAGAAGGGGGGCGAAGATTGGCTGGTCACTGTTTTCTCCTGTTAATGGCATTGGTGAGTTGGTCCCAGTGCTCTTCTGTTGAAGAAAATGATTGTTCTAGCCAGGTCATTAACCTACATGTGTGCCATTGTAATTTTGGCACTGGGTTTTCTTGCATTGTCGTGTAGGAAAATGATTTGTATGAAGAGCAAATCCTAGATCCAACAGGTTATGTCAATATACAGTATCACTAAACATTAAGGCTGCCCTACAGTACACCAAAAGATTTCTTGTGTCTCTTCAGACCCGTTCTTGATGAATGTCTCACTTCCACCTTGTTGATCAGGCTGAACACTGCCACAGCAGGCAAAACGCTCACATCAACACCTTTACCCATGTCAAGAGCACAACAGAATTCACCAGTCTATAAAATATTCTGCCAGCACCTCAGATATCCTCTGACCCAGTTATACCCTGCATGGTTTCCAAGCATGTAAATCATTTTCATACACATACAATGAGCTACAATCATTCTGCTCATACGTACATTTTATCTCCTGTAATTTCCAATGCTTACGAATATCCAAATTCCAATGCCGTTGGAGCAGACTTTAGACTCGTATTCTTATTTTTTAGGTATAACATCTCATTCTCTGATCAGCCTCTCTCAGGCCCCTTCAATCATGCCAATAACAATCAAGCAATTCTCACAAATCATGTCGTTTTGGCATTT